TCCACTCGTCCACTCGTCCACTCGTCCACTCGTCCACACGTCCACTCGTCCACTCGTCCACTCGTCCACATCGTCCACTCCACTCGTCCACTCGTCCACACGTCCACGTCACGTCCACTCGTCACAGTCCACTCGTCCACTCGTCCACGTCCACCTCGTCCACACGTCCACTCGTCCACTCGTCCACTCGTCCACACGTCCACTCGTCCACTCGTCCACTCGTCCACACGTCCACACGTCCACTCGTCCCACTCGTCCACATCGTCCACACGTCCACTCACACGTCCCTCGTCCACACGTCCCACTCGTCCACTCGTCCACTCGTCCACACGTCCACTCGTCCACTCGTCCCCTCGTCCACACTCGTCCCACTCGTCCACACTCGTCCACTCGTCCACACGTCCCACGTCGTCGTCGTCCACTCGTCCACACGTCCCACTCGTCCACACTCGTCCACTCGTCCACTCGTCCACTCGTCCCCACTCGTCCACTCGTCGTCCACTCGTCCACGTCCACTCGTCTCCACTCGCACTCGTCCACTCGTCCACTCGTCCATCGTCCACGTCGTCGTCCACTCGTCCACTCGTCCACACGTCCACTCGTCCACTCGTCCACTCGTCCACTCGTCCACTCGTCCACTCGTCCACACGTCCACTCGTCCACTCGTCCACTCGTCCACTCGTCCACTCGTCCACACTCGTCCACTCGTCCACTCGTCCACTCGTCCACTCGTCCACTCGTCCACTCGTCCCACACGTCCACACTCGTCCACTCGTCCACTCGTCCACACGTCCACTCGTCCACTCGTCCACTCGTCCACTCGTCCACACTCGTCCACTCGTCCACTCGTCCACTCGTCCACACGTCCACTCGTCCACTCGTCCACTCGTCCCACACTCGTCCCACTCGTCCACACTCGTCCACACGTCCACTCGTCCACTCGTCCACACGTCCACTCGTCCACTCGTCCACACGTCCACTCGTCCACTCGTCCACACGTCCACTCGTCCACTCGTCCATCCACTCGTCTCGTCCACACGTCCACTCGTCCACTCGTCCACGTCCACTCGTCCACGTCCACTCGTCCACTCGTCCACACGTCCACTCGTCCACTCGTCCCTCTGCAGGTCTCACAGACTCGATGTTTCTGATGTTCTCAGTGTAAAACAGGCTGGAGTTTGTTTGTTTGCGTCGCCGTCTTTTTGTTGGTTTGTTTTGGTTTGTTTTGGTTTGTTTTGGAGCTTCGCCATTGGCTCTGCCCAGACCTCAAAGCTGCGACGTGATTGGTCCGTTCAGTGTTCATCTGATTAACAGAGACCAAGATGAAGCTCATGAGAAATATCACAAATATCACAAGAATCCAACTTCAGTCTGGTCCTCGGTCTGGGTCTGGTCCTGGTCCTGGGTCTGGGTCTAGTCTTGGGTCTGGATCTTGATCTAGTTCAGGGTCTGGTCCTCGGTCTGGGTCTGGGTCTAGTCTTGGGTCTGGTTCTGGTTGTGATTTCAGTTGGAGTCAGTTGATTCTTTGGTGTTTTTAAAGTTTGTCAAAAGATTTTTTTAACCCCCCGCCCCCCCCCCCCCTCCTCTCTTTTTTTCTCTCTCTCTCTTCTTTTATTTCTCTCTTTTCTTTTATCTCCTCTCTTCCTCATCTCTCTCTCCTTTTCTCCCCTCTGTTCTCCTCTCTTTGATTATTCTCTCTCTTCCATCGGGCTGTGCTCTGGGTTTGACCTCCGCTCACCCCCCATCCTCTCTCCTCCTCCTTCCCTCCCTCTCTTCTTCTCTCTCTCTCTCTTCTCTTTGATTACTCGTTCTCTCTCTTCCGTCGTGTTACAGATGTTGCTCTCGTCTCTCTCTCTCTTTCATCATTCATCTCTCCTCCTCTCTCCCATCGGGCGTGCTCCGGGTTTGACCTCCGCTCTCCATCTCTCTCTTTCTCTCTCCCTCTCTTCTTCTTCTCTCTCTCTCTTTTCTCCCTCGTGTTCACTTCCTCTTTGGACCGTGGCGGCGGCGGCGGCGGCGGCGGTGATGGCGTTCTCTCTCTCTCTCTCTCTCCGTTCGTTTACATAAACACTCCACGCTTTGATTTGTCTTTCAATCCAGACGCTCTGGTCCTGACCTCCGTTCACACTTCTCTCTCTTCTCCTCTCCTCTCCTCCCTCCCTCCTCCCTCGTTCGGCGTTTCCGGCGGGCGCAGCGTCGCGGTTCTTTGGCGGTTTGACGTTCTCTGAGATTTGTCCTCAAGAGTTCACATGAGTCATCGTCGGAGCGCAGGTGAAACCAGAGCTGACAGCCCCAAAGTCTGAGCGAGGGAGGAGACGGAGAGAGGGAACGACAGAGCGCAGAGGGAAAGAAAGAGCGAGGGAGCGAGCGAGGGAGCGAGGGAGCAGGTGAAGTGGGGCCTGACAGCTCCAAGTTTGAGCTCGTTTGATTGGAGCAGATCAAAACTGTGAACGTTCAAAGAGAGAAACATGAGACGAGACTCAACGCACAGACAGAAAAGAAGAAGAAGATTTATGCAAGAAGAGACGGAGAGAGATTGAAGAGAAGAGGAGGAGAAGAAGAGAGGGAAGAGAAGAGGAGGAGAAGAAGAGAGGGAGAGAGGGAAGAGAAGAGGAGGAGAAGAAGAGAGGGAGAGAGGGAAGAGAAGAGGAGGAGAAGAAGAGAGGGAGAGAGGGAAGAGAAGAGGAGGAGAAGAAGAGACGGAGAGAGGAGAGGAAAGGAGAGAGGAGGAGGAGAAGAGATTCAATGCACACACAACACCAGGGACTTATGCAAGAGAGAGGAAAACCAGAGTGAGAGATTTAGACCTGATTCAGTCCTGGTTTAGTCCTGGTTTAGTCCTGGTTTAGTTCTGGTTTAGTTCTGGTTTAGTCCTGGTTTAGTCCTGGTTTAGTCCTGGTTTAGTCCTGGTTTAGTCCTGGTTTAGTTCTGGTTCCTCTGATTTACTTGAAAACTTCAAACGCATCAAAAAGGTGAAACACAAATTAAAGTTTTTATTTCTGAGTCATTCACTCTATAAACTGTTGATGTAAACTACTGTTGTAGCCACAGCTGCCCTGGGGCAGACTGACAGAAGCACGGCTGTCATGCCACTCGGTGCCACACCACACTCATCTGGATCAAACGGAGCCACGCGCCGCACTTCCTCTGCACTTCCTCTTCACTTCCTCTGCACTTCCTCTGCACTTCCTCTGCACTTCCTCTGCACTTCCTCTGCACTTCCTCTGCACTTCACTCCTCTCACTTTTTCCTCTGCACTTCCTCTTCACTTCCTCTGCACTTCCTCTGCACTTCCTCTGCACTTCCTCTGCACTTCCTCTTCACTTCCTCTGCACTTCACTTCCTCTCACTTCCTCTGCACTCCTTCTTCTCTGCACTTCCTCTGCACTTCCTCTGCACTTCCTCTGCACTTCCTCTGCACTTCCTCTGCACTTCCTCTTCACTTCCTCTGCACTTCCTCTTGCACTTCCTCTGCACTTCCTCTTCACTTCCTCTTGCACTTCCTCTGCACTTCCTCTGCACTTCCTCTGCACTTCCTCTTCACTTCCTCTGCACTTCCTCTGCACTTCCTCTGCACTTCCTCTTCACTTCCTCTGCACTTCCTCTTCACTTCCTCTGCACTTCCTCTGCACTTCCTCTTTGTGATTTCTACTTCCTGCTTCTGATCCGCTCCGGGTCGTCTAAGACTTTCACACAGTCCACTGTTACTGGTCCAGACCTGGTCCAGACCCGGTCCAGACCTGGTCCAGACCCAGTTTAGTTCTGGTTTAGAGTCCAGGTCTACAGGGGTCAGTATTAAATGAAGGTCCAGAGGAAGAGGAGGAAGAGGAAGAGAAGAGGAGGAAGAGGAGAGGAAGAAGAGAGGAGGAGGAGGAGAGGAGAGGAGGAGGAGAGGAAGAGAAGAGGAGGAAGAGGAGAGAAGAGAGGAGGAGAGAGGAGAGAGGAGAGAAGAGGAGGAGGAGGAGAGGAGGAGAGGAGGAGAGAAGAGAGAGAGGAGAGGAGGAGGAGAGAGGAGAGAAGAGGAGGAGAGAGGAGAGGAGAGGAGGAGAGAGAGGAGGAGAGAGGAGGAGAGGAGGAGAGGAGAGGAGGAGGAGAGGAGAGAGAGGAGGAAGAGGAGGAGGAGGAGGAGGAGAGGAGAGGAAGAAGAGGAAGAGAGGAGGAGAGGAGGAGAGAGAGAGAGGAGGAGGAGGAGGAGAGGAGGAGGAGAGGAGGAGAGGAGGAGGAGAGGAGGAGGAGGAGGAGAGGAGGAGGAGAGGAGGAGGAGGAGGAGGAGGAAGAGGAGGAGGAGGAGGAGGAGAGGAGGAGGAGGAGAGGAGGAGGAGAGGAAGAGCAGGAGGAGGAGAAGAGGAGGAGGAGAAGAGGAGGAGGAGTTGTGGTTGTTCCAGTCGTTGGTTCAGTTTGTGAAACATGTTGAAACATTTACTCCTGGAAAAAAAAAACTGTGAACATAAACAGAGAGAAAGAAGAAGAAGAAGAAGGAGAGAGAGAGAGAGGAGGGATGGAGGGAGAGATGGACGGAGAGAGAGATGGACGGAGGGAGAGAGAGATGGACGGAGAGAGAGATGGAGGGAGAGCAGGAGGATGAAAAGTAAAACGTGAGTGGGATGGACAGATGTGGAAGTCAAATAAACGAAAGACTTGGAAACTACAACAAGTCAGACAGAAGAACGACAGAACGGAAGAAGAGGAGAGAGAGAAGGAGGGAGGGAGGGAGAGAAGAAGAAGAAGAGAGAGAGAAGAGGAAGAGAGGAGGAGAAGGAGGGATTGAGAAGAAGAGGAAGAGACAAACAGATCTGTAGTGGAGAGAGAGAGAGGAATGGAGAGAACAGAAGAAGAGAGAGATCTGACTGACCTGAGCTCCAAACCCGTCCCGCTCTCCGTCTCATCATCAGCTCATCCCTCGCTCCTCGGCTTTAGACCAAACCTGGACCCTCCTCAGATCTGGTTACGATCCTGGACTGAACCTGTTTTTTATTTGTTTGGTTTTTTTTGTGTTTCAGGTGAAGCACAACGACCTGATCCAAGACCTGAAGCATCCGACAGCAGGAACCATCCGAGTCCCAGGTCACAACTCACACCAGGTCTAGTCCTGGTTCAGACCTGGTTCAGACCTGGTTCAGACCTGGTTCAGACCTGGTTCAGACCTGGTTCAGACCTGGTTTAGTCCTGGTTCAGACCTGGTTCAGTTCTGGTTCAGACCTGCACGTGTCTGTGAGCCTCATTAAAGAGGAATGAGAATGTTTCCATAAATAACAAACAGACACAAAAGACCAGGACTAAACCAGGACTACACCAGAACTAAACCAGAACTAAACCAGGACTACACCCGGACTACACCAGAACTAAACCATTACTACACCAGGACTAAACCAGGACTACACCAGAACTAAACCAGGACTAAACCAGGACTAAACCAGGACTAAACCAGGACTAACCAGGACTAACCAGGAACTAAACCAGGACTAAACCAGGACTAAACCAGGACTACACCAGAACTAAACCAGGACTAAACCAGGACTAAACCAGGACTACACCAGAACTAAACCAGGACTAAACAGGGACTAAATCAGGACTAAACTGGGACCAGGTCTGGACTAAAGCTGGACCTGGTCTTAGGTCTGGCACAGAGTTGAGTTTCAGTTAAACCTGAAGGACCTGAAGAACCTGAAGGACCTGAAGGACCTGAGGTTTTATAGATTCTGTTGTTCTGTTTGAGACAAAAACAAACAGTTCAACTTTTCTTATATTTGTTTTATTTTTATTTTTCTTTGTCACTTTTCATTTATTAAAGTTTGAATTTTTCTGATGGAAACAGTCGAGTCAGAGTCGAGTCTCAGTCGAGTCTCAGTCAAGTCAGAGTCGAGTCTCAGTCAAGTCAGAGTCGAGTCACAGACGAGTCAGAGTCGAGTCAGAGTCGAGTCACAGACGAGTCAGAGTCAAGTCACAGTCGAGTCACAGTCGAGTCATGATCTGGAAAAACTTCTTATTAAACACAAACAAAGAACAAAACAAAATGTGTCAGATCCCTGGAGACACTGCCCTTTAGCAAGACACTTTCCTCACACGTCTGACTGAGTCCGAGTCTGGTCTCTGGTCTTTAGTCCGGTCTCTGGTCTGGTCTTTAGTCTGGTCTGTGGTCCGGTCTTTGGTCTCTGGTCTCTGGTCTGGTCTTTAGTCCGGTCTCTGGTGGTCTGGTCTTTGGTCTGGTCTTTAGTCCGGTCCCTGGTCCGGTCTTTGGTCTCTGGTCCCTGGTCCGGTCTTTGGTCTCTGGTCTGGTCTCTGGTCTTTAGTCCGGTCTCTGGTCTCTGGTCTTTAGTCTGGTCCCTGGTCTTTGGTCTTTAGTCTGGTCCCTGGTCCGGTCTTTGGTCTCTGGTCTGGTCTCTGGTCTTTAGTCCGGTCTCTGGTCTCTGGTCTTTAGTCCGGTCTCTGGTCTCTGGTCTTTAGTCTGGTCCCTGGTCCGGTCTCTGGTCTCTGGTCTGGTCTCTGGTCTCTGGTCTTTAGTCTGGTCCCTGGTCCGGTCTTTGGTCTCAGAACATGAATGGTCTTGGATCTTGAATAAAACATTTTTCAGGAGGTTCTGCAGAGTTCAGCCTGGATCAAAGAATGATCGGGACCAGACGGACCAGACCGGGACCAGACCAGGATCATAACCGGTCTAACTGGAGCCTGTTGGTCGTGAGGGTCCCAGGTTATTTTTAAGCCGTGACCCGGATGAGTCCGAACAGAATGTCCCCAACGCTTCATTACCCCCGGACTAAAGAAATCACACCACAAAGACCGGACCAGAGAGACCAAGACCAGAGACCAGGGACCAGAGACCAAAGACCAGAGACCAGAGACCAGAGACCAGAGACCAGAGACCAGAGACCAGAGACCAGAGACCAGAGACCAGAGACCAGAGACCAGAGACCAGAGACCAGACCAAAGACCAGAGAGACCAGAGACCAGAGACCAGAGACCAAAGACCAAGAGAGACCAGAGACCAGAGACCAGAGAGACCAAAGACCAGAGACCAAAGAGACCAGAGACCAAAGACCAGAGACCAGAGACCAGAGACCAGAGACCAAAGACCAAAGACCAGAGACCAGAGACCAGAGACCAGAGAGACCAAGACCAGAGACCAGAGACCAGAGACCAAAGACCAGAGACCAGAGACCAGAGACCAGAGACCAAAGACCAGAGACCAGAGACCAGAGACCAGAGACCAGAGACCAGAGACCAGAGACCAGAGACCAGAGACCAGAGACCAGAGAGACCAGAGACCAGAGACCAGAGACCAGAGACCAGAGACCAGAGACCAAGAGACCAAAGACCAAGAGACCAGAGACCAGAGACCAAGAGACCAAAGACCACCAGAGACCAGAGACCAGAGACCAAGAGACCAGACCAGAGACCAGAGACCAGAGACCAGAGACCAGAGACCAGAGACCAGAGACCAGAGACCAGAGACCAGAGACCAAAGACCAGAGACCAGAGACCAGAGACCAAAGACCAAAGACCAAAGACCAGAGACCAGAGACCAGAGACCAGAGACCAGAGACCAAAGACCAGAGACCAGAGACCAGAGACCAGAGACCAAAGACCAAAGACCAAAGACCAAGAGACCAGAGACCAGAGACCAGAGACCAAAGACCAAAGACCAAAGACCAGAGACCAGAGAACAAAGACCAGAGACCAGAGACCAGAGACCAAAGACAAGAGACCAGAGACAAAGACCAAGAGACCAGAGACCAGAGACCAAGAGACCAGAGACCAGACCAAAGACAAAGACAAAGACAGAGACCAGAGACAAAGACAGAGACCAGGGACCAGAGACCAAGAGACCAGACCAAGACCAGAGACCAAGACCAGAGACCAGAGAGACCAGAGACCAGAGACCAGAGACCAGAGACCAGAGACCAGAGACCAGGGACCAGAGACCAGAGACCAGAGACCAGACCAGAGACCAGAGACCAGAGACCAGAGACCAGAGACCAGAGACCAGAGACCAGACCAGATCAAAACAGCACTCAACACATTACCTGATTTAACTCTCAAAAAACATTTGGGCAAATTCAGACCAAGACTAAACCAGGACTAAACCAGGACTAAACCAGGACTAAACCTGTACTAAACCAGGACTAAACCAGGACTAAACCTGGACTAAACCTGGACTAAACCAGGACTAAACCTGTACTAAACCAGGACTAAACCAGGACTAAACCAGGACTAAACCAGGACTAAACCTGGACTAAACCTGGACTAAACCTGACTAAACCAGACTAAACCTGGACTAAACCTGGACTAAACCTGTACTAAACCAGGACTAAACCTGGACTAAACCTGGACTAAACCTGGACTAAACCTGGACTAAACCAGGACTAAACCAGGACTAAACCTGGACTAAACCTGGACTAAACCAGGCCTGTGTTTTGCCGTTTGTGGTTCAGGTCCGGCGGTTCGGTTCAGTTCCTTCTCGCCTCTAAGCCCCGCCCCCCCTCCTCTGATTGGCCAGCACACGGTCAGCGTCTTGACAGGAAGTCTGCACTACAGCGAACAGGAAGTGACATCACTGCTGCAGAGCGGCGCCGTGGCCCAGAGTCCGGACGTGTGATTGGACGAGAGTCGGACCCGCGACTCGGCAGAACAGCGCCGGAAAAACGACGACAAACCAGGAAACACGGATCATCCCAGAACTCACCAATCAGACCAACCCGCCGTGTGTGTCGGAGTCTCTGATTGGTTCAATTAAACTGTCAGTCATTTCCCTTCAATTCAAAGTTCTTTAGTTGAAGTGGAACACTCCTGTGAGTTTAAGTGTGACCAGATTTTATTTATAATGAAGTGAAACTGTTTTGCACTCGTCCCAAACATGAGTCAGTTTAGTCACGTTTTCTCTGTGTTTCGTTTTTTAATCAGATTTTGTGTATTTTACTTAAACAAATATCAGTTTGTTTTTCTCTTCACTGCTGCAGGATCGAATTTGTCCAAAATAGAGACACCGGGACATTTCTTGTAGTGGTTTTGTGTAAATCTGTGGGGACAGAGGACACAGGCTCAGAGCCGGGACGGTCCCCGGGGACACGGGGACGGTCCCGGGGACGGGGACACTGGGACACGGGGACGCGGGGACACTGGGACACGGGGACGCGGGGACACTGGGACGGTCCCGGGGACACGGGGACACTGGGACGCGGGGACACGGGGACACGGGGACACGGGGACACGGGGACACTGGGACACGGGGACACGGGACACGGGGACTGGACACGGGACCGGGGACACTGGACGGGGACGGTCCCGGGGACACGGGGACACTGGGACGCGGGGACACGGGGACACGGGGACGCGGGGACACGGGACGCGGGGACGTGGGGACACTGGGACACGGGGACGGTCCCGGGGACACGGGGACACTGGGACGTCTGGTGACTCTTCTGTTTGTCTGTAACTTGAGTCTGAATAAAAGTTGAACTTTAACAAACTCATCAAGTCACGTCTCATCAGAGAAACGTGTTTTTGTCTCCAGGAGAACATCCACAGCACCACTGCACCTCAGGTCACGACTCGAATCAGGAACCACCAGCCCAAGAGTCAGCAGCTCAGGTCTGTGGAGTCAGGTCTGTGGAGTCAGGTCTGTGGAGTCAGGTCTCTGGAGTCAGGTCTGTGGAGTCAAGTCTGTGGAGTCAGGTCTGTGGAGTCAGGTCTGTGGAGTCAGGTCTCTGGAGTCAGGTCTGTGGAGTCAGGTCTGTGGAGTCAGGTCCATGGAGGTTCTGTGCATTCATCAAAATGTCAGCCCCAAAATTGGGTCCAGACCAGGTCCAGACCAGGTCCAGACCAGGTTCAGATCAGGTCTGAGGATCTGGGGTCAGACCGGGTTTAGTTCTGAGGAAATCCTAACAAAGAAAAACCAGGAGACGAGGACAGACCCAGAACTCAAACATCAACAAAATGAATGAATAAACCAGGACTAAACCAGGACTAAACCAGGACTAAACCAGGACTAAACCAAGACTAAACC